TGTCTCATCATGTGCCATCACTATAAGGCATTAGAGTATACTAAACTTTACACATTATATAGGCTACACTGACGTGACGTTTAGGTGGTTCGTTTAACTATTATAAGTGATGTACATTTTTTGGGGGGTGGTTAATGAAAGTGTTACAAAACACAACATTAATTTCTTCACGACCTAATATACGAGTCATTGAAGTCCTAGAAATCTTACAGCAGAATGGTTTAATAAAAAAATATAAGGTTATTTAGAAAAAAGCAGAATTGTAAGTGAAGTAGTTTTGAAACTATACAGGATAAATAAAAAGGGTATATATTAAAATTTCAAAACAAACTGGGGCCTTTAATTAGTTGTACTTGAATAAAATTAACCACAGTTATTATAGTATACTTACAAGCTTTTTACATTTGTCATGTTTGTCATTGTACTCTTAGGGTACATTATTTGTAGCTATAATAAACTTTCCAAAGGTAAAACTATTGTAAAAATAGTATCTTTTTTAATGTGAAAACATGCGATTTGTGTCGTTTTAAATAATCATACTAAATAAGTTGTATGTTGAAATTTATTATGTAATACACTCCAAGTCATATAGACACAAAATGTAACAAACTTAACAAACAGAAACTGGTAAATTTGTTATCAGTGGCAGGAACAGAATTTAGAAATGTGAATTATACAAAAAAATAGGAGAAAAACAAAAGTGTATGGTTTCAAGTAATCTTAATATATTAAACAGGAATTACTGCACAATGTGTCAGTGTACAGTTTCTATAGATCATGTCGGACATAATACCGTAAAAACAATCACAACTGTCAAAACATAAAATATCCATTAAACAAAACATTTTTGTACGAGAGTTATGAGTTATAACAAGTTTGTGTGTTAAATCTGTTAAAAAACAAATTATTTATTTGGAAATTTGAAATTAACGAAAATGTTTGAAGTTGATGATATGGTCAGGTTATCTATTAAAAAAAAAGAGCTCTTTATTGTAATACTTGACGATCTAACTAAACCAAAATACTTTTTTATTCACAGAATTAACATCATCGTCAGTTCTATTTTAATACGAGTTTTATAACAGTTTACTATTGATTTAATAAAAATTATTTGCTTACGGCTGGAGCTTCTTCTATTATTTTCTGATGTCTTCTCTGAACACTACAGTCTCTCTCAAACAGGTAAACATAGTTTCCATGATGGTCCCCAAATACCTGTACTTCCACATGGCTTAAAATAGATATCAACAGTGTATTTATGTAAAATAACTTGTCTTTGGTAATGTAATTTCAAATATTTTATGTTACTATCATTTTGTACATAATACAAGTCAGAACAAATTTATACAGGTCATTGTAGGCACTACTATCTTTGTCCACTTGTTAAGCTATCTAACTTTTAATATTTAATCACCACATGAAAATGGTTAAGTTGGTATCTTAGTTCAAAATCAACTTTTGCTGACCAAGTTTTCCTAACAGTAAATTAACTGAATAAAACATCTTAGCTTTTACCTGTTTTTCTAATGACTAAAAAAAGCAATAGCTTGTGAACATTTTAGGATTAACTTAATGAATGCTTACTTAATGCATTTTAATTAAAGTTACATAAATACTTTTGTGTGTTTTTTTATGTGGGTATGTGGCATTATGTTTAGTTTTCATAAACTTGGCTTAGCATTATTTTATGTTCAATAAAGTAATAATATTAAAATAGCTCTTCAACTGTGTGTGTGTGTTTGTGTGGAGACATTATGGTAGAACGAGTTTAGGATTTTTAGCTGCAAGTTGCTTTTTTTATTTGTGTTACTAATACCAAGCTATTTTCCTGTAGTGCTTCCTTCAATAAATAAAACATTCTCTATACCTTGTTGTACTAACTTTTACAACAAGATAAATACAGATTTTTTTTTTTTCATTTTCACAGATATATGTTTGCATTAAAAACACAATAAGACTTAACACAATAACACATTGGTGTTAACTGCAGTTAACACCAATGAATCAAAATAAAGTAATAATTATAATGGAAATCTACATCTAAAATATTCTTACCGAGGATTTTCAACAAATTTTTCAATGAGCATAGCATCATCCCCAAATGATTTCATTGCTTCCCTACGAGCTGATTCAAGCTGGCCATGAAATTCTTTTTCTGACATTGCAGTTCTCATGCCCTAAAGAAAGTCATTAAGAAACAATTATTGGTCAAATCCAACAATCAAATAGTTTAACATTTCTATAACTTTAAAATGGGATGTTATAATTCAAACAATAAGTTTTTTGTAGATACCCTGTACAATAACATCTTAAAACTGTAATAAACAAAAAACAATTAAAAAGAGATAAGTTTCTAAAAGATTAGAAAACACTAAAATAAAATGGACTGTTAGCATAATGCAGAAGTTTTATAGCATAGCAAGCTAAGAACGCTCTTTTCTTTTAACAAGCAACTTGTCTTATCACAATGAGACACTGTGTAATTAATCCATACTATTGACACAGACAGAAGCAACAAAAATCGTGAATTATCAGCTAATGAAAACTGGAACTTTTAGTATATTTCATGCAACACTGAGCATATTTGTATTTTACTGTAAAGTGCATTCATTTTCATGAAAACTATGATCTTCACACGAGATCAACCCTTTCATATTTACGACAATCAAGACTGTTTTTATTGTCTATTAAGCTAAAATTTTACTGTTTGAGCTACAACAAAATCATTATATTTCCTCTAGCATCAAACAGTGGTTTATATACTTAATTTTTTTAGATAATACTATACCTACATCAGATAAGATCAGTTTAGTGCCAACATCATATATATATATATATATATATCAAACATCCACAAAACTTTTTTACAGGAGAATATTGTGAGTATGAATTTTTTGTTAGTGGTTCAATAGACTGTTTGAGAATACAACTTAACAATTCAAATTTTTCTGTTTTGCTTCAACCAACTTAAAATTCTGAAGTAAGATTATAATTAGGTAGTTATATAGATGCTCGCCCTTTTAAAAGTCAGAATTATTTTATACATGTGCAGTGGCTATTATCTACATCGCACAAAATATTTTTCTTCCAAATCAATCAAGTAGCACAAGATTTTCCATGTTCTAACGTGTTTTATGTCATTGTTTTTTGAACAAAAGTCTTAACATTTTCTATAGTAATGTATTTTGTGTGTTTAGGTACCCTTCTTTATACTTTAAAAAATAAGTTGATTGTTGTCTTGGTGGAACTTTATCTTCAAAAAATGCACGTGTCATTTTGATAAAAACTACATGGCAATATGAACAATAAACTAAATAGTTTTGCAATAAAGTTATAGTAAAAGATAAGAAATTTACTCTCCAGAAAATAATAAAAACTTCTCAACTGGCTTCATCAGGGATAGTAGTACAAGATCTAAACAACATTTCTTACAATTTTTGAAAGTTGCAATTTGTACGAACTGATGTACATACAGCAATTTTCATTACATGTACAAAATAAATAACTATATACACACACACTGCTTTTAGTTACTTTTATAAACAAGATTCATGCATTGACATTACACCTCAAGCTTACATCATGCACGTGCTAGAATTCAGTTGCCCTTGTTTAACCTTTGCACTTGCCTAATGAAAGCTCAAAACAAAACCTATTCATAAGTTGTGTATAATGATTCACTTATGTCTTTACTGTCAATATTGTGTTAAGGATGCCTTAAACCACTCATCAAAGAGCACTACCTTTTGTGAAAACAAATATATTAATGGCAAAAAAGAAAAAAGACTTCGTATTGAATATGAAGAAATGATAATATAAATTAAAAATATCCAAGTCAACTTCTTCACCTTTCCACCACCTCCTCTAACAGCTTTGATCATTACTGGGAAACCAATCCTTTTAGCTTCCTTTCTCAAATTTTCATCAGATTGATCATCACCATGGTAACCTTCTATAACAGGTACTCCAGCAGCAGCCATGATTGCCTTGGAGGTGCTTTAATTGAAACATACTGGTACAATGAAGTATGACAATGATAAATAAAATTCAACTAATATTGTAAAGTTACCTAAACATTTCTGGATCTGAATAACAGATATTTATCTACTTGTTTCATCTATAAGAATGAAAAAAATTTAAATGCACAATCCTGATGTTTAACATAAAGTCTACCAAATACTCACTGGTTAAAAACAAGAATTTATTTCAGAAAACAACAAGTCATGCATAGCTATATACATTAGAGAATAAGTGAATTGGTACAATGTTGAAAACAGAGCTAACTGTCTTGGTAAAACAGAAAATTCTTAGTTATAAGAATTGATTACTAGTTAAGCCAAAGAGCAAAGTAAAAGAGCATCTGAAAATACAGTTACAACTAAACCGAATGAAAATGGGCAATTTAAGTTTTTTTAAATAGATTTTACTCTAGTTAACAATTAAAAAAAATTAATTTAGAAAATACAAAATCAAGCAACTGTTAAATTATTTTATATTTCAAACTGTATTAAACTTTTGAAACAGAAAGGTTTTATACCTTTTTATTCCCATGTCTCTGATGGCTGTAGCTGGAGGTCCAATGAAAATCAACTGGGATTTTTTGCAGAGTTCTGCAAACTCAGTGTTCTCAGACAGAAATCCATATCCTGGATGTATAGCCTGAGCACCAACTTGCTTGGCCACAGCAATAACCCTTTCTTGATTCAAATAGCTTAGTTGAGATGCAGCTGGACCAATGTTATAAGCTTCGTCTGCCTAATACAGTAGACAATTAAAACAATACTGTCGAAGCTTTTATCCTTGGCAAGTAACAGTAACAAAAGTTAATATGTTAAGCCTTATTTGATTATCTGGATGTCTTTACAACAGCCTAAACTAAAACTCTGATATCAGTTCATAACATTGCAATAATAAATATTAACTACTAATCAGAGCAAGCTAAAAATTAACCTGATGATCAACATAGCTAATTAAATATAATTTTCTTAAATTTATATTTATAAAGATTAAAATGCATTGTTTCCTTAGTTGGGTGTCCTCACTGTTAATGATATTTTTGGCCATAGTCCCAATAATACCTTATAAGGTTTGGTCAGCTTATGAGATTTTGGTTAGCCCTAAATACATATATTAAATTAACAATGTAAAACAATCTTTATAATACAGGTACAACAATAAACATAGAAAATATTTACATCCTACATTCCATATAGTATAACCACTACTGTTAATAAAAGTAACAATAAATAAATAATATAGTGTACTTTACTTATTGAACATTAGCTGTTGGCTTGAACTACTATCATGGAAACATTTGTTAGGAGAATGTGAACTAAGCATAACATCCCTAGCCTGTCTTTTGACCAAAGAAAACTCATTGAGCGACTCCTACTGTCTAATATCAGAGGCGAGTCACCCTTGTACTTGATACATTTAAACACTACTTTTATTTTATGTTTTTATTTACCATTCATTTATTATACCTTATATCATTTAGTTCAACTATGTATTTTTTGTTATATCAAAGTTCTGACTCACCTTCTATCCAGACCATATTGATTCTGAGTATGTATGTATTATGAAACTGACACCAGCTTCCCCTAGTGGTGATGTACAGATACTAATGTTGTGAAAGATTATGTATATCAGCTAGTCACATGAGATGTAACTTCACGGTCTCACCACTAAATAAATATAATTCCTTTTTTATTTTAACCGAATAACATTTTCAGGAACAAAAAGAATGCCAAGAGAAACTATCAAGAGATTCCCAGACCTGTGGCTTGTTCCCAAGTGTTGTGAAATTTCCACTAGATTAATCTGTTCACTCTTAAGCTTACAGAAGCTCTGGGTTGCAAGATAGTAAAATCAACTTTTATTTTGTTATGGTTGTTATTACCGTTTATTTTATAATTCCTTCTGTGATGTATTTCAACAAGAATTTTTTGCTATCTTAAAGTGTTATCTCAGCTCCTATCTAGAGCACAATGATTTTGGGTAAGCATGTATTACAAAACTGCCACCAGCTTCCCCCTAGTGGTATCGTACAGGTGTTAATTTCATGAAAAATCATGTAGATTCATGGTAGTAGCTAGTCACCTGAGATGTAACATCATGATTTACCCACTAGATAAAAAGCCTTCTTTGATCTTGAAAACGAGTGAGTTCACAAGATACAGTTAGAAAGAATTATTACTAATAATTGTTCCATATTGTTACTAATCTTGAGAAGTGGTGTAATTTTGAAATATTGTTTTATTCTCTGGTGAATTAATTTTTTTTTATTCCTATGATACTTATGATGTATCGTTTATTAACATTTGTAACTAGTCCTTGGGGGCACAAATTTACTAATTGTTTTTTGTAAGTGATAAAATTTGTATTCTAGTTGTTTGAAAGTTTTATTTTGGAGTTCTGTTGTTATATTTTAATAACTTATTTTTGTTTGACCCGGGTTGTAGCGATGTTTTACTTAGACCGTTACAATATATATATGAAAAAAACCATATACTTACCATTCCAACGTGCAAGGAATGGCTGTCAGCATCACTATAAACTGCTACGGTTCGCAATCCAAGTCTTTTGGCTGTCCTTATCACGCGACATGCTATTTCTCCACGGTTTGCTACTAATACTTTTTCTATAGGAGCAAAGTGTCCAGAATCTACAGAGAAAAAATTTATTTAGATACTTTTGTGCTTTATTACATATATAAATATGAACAAATTTAGAGATAGTTAAATAATAAACAGTGAAAACTGTTAAACTCCTAGTAATCAACCTGGTAATTAGTTTGTGAATTAGATTATTTCAAACATATATATTGCACTGTCAACAACTTTGTTTTTTCACAGTTTTGAAAGCCTTGCACGAAAGTCAAGATGTAGAGTTATCTGTTTGGAATATGTAGCCTTGGTAGCTCAGGTGATAGGGAATCAATCTTAGAACATGACCCATAGAAGATTGATTAATGCTCTAAAACATTACAAACTTGCTACAGACAGTTTTATACACACAAAAAAAGTGTTATCTAATTAACATGTTATGGTTACTGAGGCCAGGAAGTGATTTGTATGGATCCCTTTTTCCCAGTTGAGTTATAAGTTGGTAGATTTACAGGTGGTAGATGTACATTCGGAACTAGTTTCAAGTAAAAACTAAACATCTAAGTTTTAAAAGATTTTTAAATAAATAGCATCACAATAATAACTAAATGTGCAACCACAATAAGTAGTCATGAACTAGATGTGTGTGTGAGTGTGGTAAATTGTAAGCTGGTTATGATTTACACACACTAAATGATAATGACTCACTAATGAATACTAAGTGCATATTATATTAATATTTCAGAATGTCTGTGATGGATACAAGTCCAATGTTGAAAATGGTTCATTGTACTTTTGTCTCTATCTTCAGGTATCTATGTATATGTTGTATTCTTATCAAAATACATTTGAAACTATATTATTGTTTATTTACCTATTCTTTGCTACTGACTCACAAAGCAAACTTATGAAGTAATTCTTACCTGATGATTGGTATCTGACCCATGCTTTCAATATAGACTGCCATCTGCATAATGCAGAAAAAGAAATTGGAATATGTGAAAACATAATAAAGATAGATAGAAAAGAAAGGTCCTAAATCATAAAATAACTTGGTTTCAATATTTTTTTAAATCGGGCAAAAAGGTTGTAGAAAACAAAAGTATAAAAGATACATATATTAACTCCAACAGTGCTTTAAATCTTTTAAAATACACATTATAAGACAGTAAATTGTAAAAATACCTTGTTTGTTTCAATTAAGTACTTTGTATTCTTTGGTACATTTTATAGTAATTCAACAAAACTCTTCTACTTTGAATATTGACTGAGTGTACTATTTTCTTTCTTTTTCAAATAATCAAATATCACAGAACTATTTTGTGAAAGATGAACTCATAATTGCTTATAGTTATACCACAGTTCAGACCTCTTCATGTCTATAAACTTGAGATTTAATTGCTTTATGTACCTTAATTTCAAATACAAGCCTCTATGTGCACTAACAAAATTACAAATTTTACTCCTATACAGAAACAGTTAAAGGAAACAAATTTAATATATAGCAAATTTTACAGTAAAGAAGTTAGAACATTATCCTGCCTTGCATTTTAAAGCTACTGAAACAGAAGTCAGTACATTTCAACAATTACTTAATTCTTTAAATAAATGAAATTATTGTCATGAGAAAGTTTGATCTAATCTTCTACAATATGAAAGTCTTATTTGGAATACCAAATATCTGGTGTACATAAGTAGGCATTATGTTGCTAGATCCTCACTAAATATTACAGACAAGTTACAAAATTTTGTAACCCCTCTAATCAGTTACTGTTCGGGTGAAAAAGAAAAAACCACCACAGATTACTTAATTCTTCTAAGATTGAATGAGAGAGGTTTTTGCTTATGTGCCAAGAAGTGTTAAGTATGTTACTTGTGGCTGATGGTACTACAAATCAAGCTATTCCTTTCTTTCGTCTAAGACATTTTGTGACCAACAAAGTTTTCAGTTCTTCCTTAATCAGTTTTTGAATGGAACTCTTACTCTTTTCACCTTGTTTCACTGAATATGTATGATCTATGCAAAAAAAAAAACAACTTAAGATTTTAATAAAATTATATAAACCTCAAGAACCCCAATACATATTCTTTTGGCTTATGAGCTTTTGAGACATGGCAATTTGAAAACTATTTACAAATCGTCCTAATTGTAAACCTTATATATATTGAAGGTTTAATACTGAAGTAAATATGTTAATTATTTATTTATTTTTAAAATACATGTGAAATTATATCCCTTGTAATATTCAGGGCATAGCTGTTTGGAGAGAAAAATACTAACTAGCATATTTTATTTACTTTGAAGAATTCTCATACTTAAAATGTTTTTTTTTCTTTTTGTGATTAAGATCAATATTTATTTGAAACGCTGTTCAGGATTTGTAACTTGTATTACAAGTTGTAGCATTTACTAATGAGCTAGAAAATCGCATGCATCTTGGAGTTAGAGGTACGAAAGTTTCAACAGTAACACGAATAATAATATTTTAATTTTATGCTTAGAATTTTAGAATGGAAATTACGTTTCATCACACATGGTACTCGCGAGTTTATTTTTTACGTTAATACAATCAGAAAATTAAGCATCAGTCAATCCATTTACCATATCATAAAGGTAAAAAAAACGACCTTCTTTATATTATAATTATCTGAGCATGATCCGGGAATGCAATATACTATATAGGCTAACCCAGAAAAAGGGGTGGGACATTTATTTTAATTTCTAAAAACAAGGTGATAAAGCATAACAAAGACCAAAACATATTCTTACATTAGATAATATTAACTATGCAATTATGTGAACTAATATCATATTTCTGAATTAAATAATGATGATTTGTACACTTCAGGTTACCTATTTCTGTTCCGAGAATACAACGAAGACAGTCTCACAGCTGCCATTTTAGATTACGGCCCTCTCTAGCGCCAATTTTTCTGATGATAATTCATATGCATTTAAAACTTTTTATAACGGTTAAAAGTTAAAATTGCTTCATTATAATTTACTTCCATGCTTTCATTATAATTTACTTCCATACTTTCATTTTAAGCTTTTCTAACCAATATTAATTATTACGTACCTATATTTAAGTAAGTTGTAACAATTTATAACCTTATAGTACAACAGCCTCTTCCTTTTCGGTCGCTCTGTGCCAGAGCCACATCCACTATTCGAATTTTGAAAAAACTATGATATTAATCTACAATAAATGTTTCTTTGAGAAAATTGCTTTTGGATTTTCAACTGCGAGATATTTCTACTTTATCCCTTAAATTTCAGGATATGTTCACAAGAGATACCCATATTTTTGACAAACCCAGCTTTCATAATAAAAATAAGAGAGTGAGGCCCTTAATCATTGTAATTATGAACTGAAATACCTGTAATTTATTTTAGTTCTTTACAGTCTAAAATTGATAACTCATATAATGGGGTCCGGATCAAGTTTCGTTACTTTGCTTAACAACATGTCAGTGAATATGTTGAAATTAAATTCCTCTTACCTATAAATATTGTTCCTTCCTCTCAAATAAAAGTTAAATTGAGGGCTATGTTACAAATTAAGAGCACGAAAAACAAACAACAAAAACAAAGATTAAACTGTAAAAGCTAACCTAGATGTAGACTATATATTTCCTCAAAAAATAAAATAAAGTGAGGGAGTTTGGGTAATTTAGGCAAAATAAAAGTAAGTAGCGTCTTGAAGCAGTAATATGTTCTTGTTACTACAAATCATTTTCATGGATGACTGGAGGGTGAGCGATGAAGAGGCATTACAGTCAATTATAACTGTATACCTTTTTAGTTGATAAATAATTAAGATTTACCTTTGAGTTTTGATAAGAAATTGATGAGCGAGCCGAGAGTTTTTTCTTGTCATGTTCAAAAGTGGGTTTTCTGGCATCATACCTTTTACATTGTTTACTTTTTTTTAGTGTCTTGATTCTAGTAACAAATCCATGTTCAATATCATTATCAGGATGTATGTCGCTTGTCAGCCACTGTATTTGTTCTATTGTTGAATTAACAGATGATAACTAATTCTGTGAAAAAGTTCTTGATGCAGTGGTAACCGTCCTTTTCTGTGTGTGCCACATTGCAAGTGTACGCTTTACATTGGGCTGTTATGAAATACAGTCTCAACTTAAACACCCCTTCATAATTCTCCCCCCCCCCCTTGGAGGCTCGGCGGTAAGCTTGTGAGCTTGTAACGCCAAAATTCGGGATTCGACCTCCGTTGTTGGCACAGAGCAGATAGCCCACTGTCAAGTTTTGCAGTTAAAATAAACGTATTTCTATAGTAAAATATAACTGTAAACTCAAAAGTCTAATTCTTTGCTTAAATGATCAAATTTTATTGGTTCATGGTTCCATATCTTCTAATTCAAAACAAAATATTTGATATTTTTTGCGAGTTAGCCCACATTTCATTTTAATCCGTTTTACAAGTCTAAGCTATTTTGTATTCATCGGGATTTAACGCAGGGGTATCCATCTAGCTGCACGTGAGGCAGAAATTTGCAACATGTGTCCTTTATTTAGAAAATATCTTATGATGTCTCATATAGCACACATTTTGTTAACTTTCATAATAGCATGAAAGGTTATTAAAATAAATGTCATATTATTAATTATTTGATTTAACCTCACTGCTTGACCTTGGAGTGTTTTATTGATTAGTAGTAACTTATTCAAAACTCAGAACTTAAAATTGGCAAAACTGTTAAAATGTTGGACACTCCTGAAACTTTCATTTGCGTAGAGTTCAAGAACATATCAGCACTTAATACAACTTAATGAAAGGATAAGAATGAACCAGGTTCTTTCCAGATTCTAAACAACTGCCCTTAGGAGTTGTCAATAAACAAATACAAAAAAGAGAAAGAAACATGAACAGACTTGTTCATACTAAGGAAAATAGGGGTCGAAAAAAAGAGGAAATGTTATATTCTTTACAAGTTTAGTAACATACTGTAGTTACAAAAACAAACAAACATCGTAATGAAAGTCAAATGAAGTAGATACATTAGTCGTTGTTAAGCACACATTATCTGGATGTCTAGTACCCAGTGGCACAGCGGTAAGTCTGTGGACTTATAACGCTAAAAACCGTGTTTCGATACCAGTGGTAGGCACAGCACAGAGGTTATGTTTGTTATGGATTTCGCCCAAAGCTACACGAGGTCTATCTGCGCTAGCCGTCCCTAATTTAGCAGTGTAAGACTAGAGGGAAGGCAGCTAGTCATCACCACCCACCGCCAACTCTTGAGCTACTATTTTACCAACGAATGGTGGGATTGACCGTCACATTATAACGCCCCACGGCTGAAAGGGCGAGCATGTTTGGTGTGACGGGGATT